CAAGATTATCAACATAAGATAAATCATATGGATCTAATTTCAATTCAAATCTTCTTAATTGAGCAATTAATTCTTTACACTCTTGTTCACTATAATTTAAACTATGCCACATTTTAGAAGCAGTTAATGCAGCTTCTCTAAATCCTCCATTACGTAATCCACATCCTAAATAATAATAAAAAAATTAAAATATTTTAATAAATAAAAAAATAATTAATATAAATTTTAGATTAACTAACCTCGATATAATATATGTATAAAATATAATAAATATGCAGGATGTTGAAATTCTGTATACCGTTGATTAAAAATTCTTATTGCTAATCGTTTAAATGGATTTAAATTTGATAAACGATAAATAGCTATTAATTTAATCATATAAATGAAACAATCTACCAATGTTGCTGTATTACTTTCTAAAATATTAATACATTCTTTTATTGGTGTCCAAACTGATCAAATTTGATTACAAATAATAAAAAAATTATCATTTTGATTTGTGAGAATTCAGAAGTTTCAGACTTTATCCAGAAATCAAGTCCAGTCTCTTCCATATATGTTCTATATAAGTTCAAACAAATTTTATCTGTCAAATGACTTAGTAAATCAACCAATTTAACATGTCAGTTCAAATATTCAGGGGTTAAAACTTTATCTATATTATTGTTTATATGATCACAAATTTAAATTAAGTATAAATTGTATCTTATTCTTTAGTTGTAAATGTTATTAAAAAAAATGAATATAGTTAATTAACTTACAACTGGAAAATTTCATCAAGAAATTTTTTCTAGTGAAACCTTCAAAAGTTAATGTTAACATAAGTATTTCGCTGTTTTTCAATATGTTATCCTTTAAAGATCTTTGCTAACCTTTGAAGGTTATTGATTTTGATATTTTCATGTGACAAAATTTTGTGAATATTAATATTTTTATAATAAATTTATATTGATAACCTTTGAAGATTTATTAATTTTGAATTTTTCATATGTAAAATTTTACGAATATTATCGTTTTTGTAGTAAATTTGTATTAATAACTTCGAAGGTTATTAATTTTGATATCTTCATATGTGAAATTTTGTAAATATTATCATTTCATAGTAATTTCGTATCAATAACCTTTATTTATATTAGATATTCATAATATATCATTTCTATGGTCATCACTTGCATTTATATCACTGCAATTTTCAATTAATATTGTACTGTCAACAATATCCTTCGACATTTATCGCAGCAATTTTAATTAATATTATATTGTTAACAATGTCTTTCGAAATTTATCACAACAATTTTAATTGATATTGCACTGTTAATGATATCCTTCAAAGTTTATTGCAGCAATTTTAATCAATATTGCACTGTTAATAATATCTTTCAAAGTTTATCATAACAAAATTGTATTGTTAACAATATCTTTCAAAATTTATTGCAACAATTAAGGTTAGTATTTATATTCACTGAACATAATTATATTATTGTTATAATTTTATTAGATATTATATTAATCCAAAGTTTATTAGTATTAATACATTCCTGAAACCTTTGATGATTTAATATATTATAGTTAAAGATTTTCAAAATAACTAAACAATGATTACAATGAGTTTGAATTAACATTGTTTAAATATTACAAACATTCACATATAATATTTACAATAAAATTTTCAAATAAGAATAATTATTATCATATAAATATTATAAGTATAAGATTTTGTCTATACTTATATTATATATGAACAAACATGTTTTTAACAGATTGTGTAATATTCTCAACAAATGTTTACATACTATAAAATTACTGAAATAAGTATATGTTATCATTTCATATTTGTATTGCATAATAAATTTACAAAGTTATTAATTATAGAATTCATATATTATATATAAATAGAGAATTTTACTGTATTTTAATTCTAATCCTTATTGTTTCTAACTGACCTTCATACATTCCTTTTTTTTAAGTATTTTGTGAAAGAAAAAATTGTAAAATATTAGAAAATATCTATTGAAGTAAATATAAAGTATAATATCAATGGTTAATTTTGAGAAAGTCGAATATTTACTAAAATTTATATCAGTATAGAAAGATTTACCATTTCAATGTCAAAAAGTAATTATTTAATTATTTTCGAATATTTATGGTATATTATATTAACTTCTCAATGAATATTAACTTTTTAATAACGTAAAAGTAAGTATCAAATATAATATTATAATATTTTAAATGTAATTGTAACCTTTTGAAATAATTAGAATATAATCAATTAAATCTTGTGCTTTGAAATAATGGATAAATACATAATTGTGAGAATCAAAAGTACTTTGTGATCACTATTATAGTGAACATTCTTCTCCAGTCATTATAATCTTAATCTTACTTTAAAATATCAAAAGAAAAGAACCAGTCACACTTTTGAGAAGGTTAAATAAAAAAAGTACATATCCAATAGGCCTAATAGAAATGGAACCAGAAGTAGAAATTAATTGTGAGATATCAAATTTAATGCAAAGTAATAATATTAAATATAATAATTTGCTTCTTTTAAAAAAATATTTATATATTTATTTATAGGAATGCAAGAAGAAACATAAGAAGAAACACAAGAAGGAATACAAAGAACGCTATTACTATTTTTTTTTATCTTCTTCATTGTCATCATATTTTCGCTTTCATTTCCATCCATCACACCCTGTTACCTTTAATTCTTATCTATATAATTTCCCTTTTAATTGTCACCACCTCTTTTTTACTCCTTTTTCTCGTTTTCTAATATTACTTATCAATATTTATTATCACTTACTTTCACTTATCCATTTACCTTATATTACCCACTTTATTTTTGTCTTTTCTACCATTCTCTCCATCTTGAATTCATCTTAAAAATCTTGATTCTTTATTCTTTTTTCCACCTATATTTATAAATTCTTTTAGCTACGCCAGTCACATGCCATATAACTTTTGATATACTGTGAACTGCAGATGTTACAGTCTACTGTGGATTATTGCGAAAATTATTATTTTGCTTAGATGGTGACCACTCTTCCTAGCAAAAGACCACTCACCAAGGTGAAGATGCTAATGTTTTAAACTGCTACTATCTTCACATTAACCAAGAAACTAAGTAAAATTGAAATTGAGTCTATTTTATTATTTTTTTTCTTTTTCTTTTTTTTTTCTTCTTTCATCATGTAATCCATTGATAAATTAATTTATATTTTTAAAATAAAATTGAAATAATTATAAAAGTAGCTTTAATTTTTCTTCTTTATATATAAATTATTAAGTATCAAGTATCAATTAATCAATAAATCATAGAACAAATAATCAATTAGTGATTAATGAATTATTAATTATCAAATTAGATAGTTTTTGAGTGAACATAGGATAGATTTCTTTACTTTCTTTATTTCTTCTTGTACTTTCTTTATTTTCTTAATAAAATCTTTATTGTAATCTATAAATAAGTTATATATATGTTTATTTTTCTCCTTATATCTGTTTATAAATTATAAATAAAGTCTACATTATATAATTCAAAATCTTAAAATTCAAGAATAAACTATTGATCTTTAATTCTTCATTCAAACTGTCATGTAACTTAGTTGAAACTCACTTTTTTTTTATTCTTTGAACCCATCTATCTTTTAAATCTTTACCAAGTCCTAGTAAAACTATTTCATTTTATTTCTTATTGTCTTTAGATTAGAATTTATCATATTTTCTCTTCTTTATATTCACTATCCTTCCTTTAATTGTCACTTCTTTATTTTATCCAATTTCTTTATCTTTATTGTCCTATAGTATAGAATATTAGTTACTTTATTATTATTTGTCTTTCCATATTTCCAAAATTAACTAATAACTACTGGGCTAAACTCAAGCACTTGTTGCACTTGTCCCCTCACTCTTTCAACAGGTAATATTAACACAAAGAGAAATACAAGAAGAAATATTTCCAGAAGGAAGAATTAGAAATTTCACTCTGGATAAATTAATTTCACAAAATACTAAAGTAATAAAAAATTTTAATACTTTAAATAATAAAATTGATAAACTTGAAAAAATAATTGTTGATTTTGTCAACAAAAGAGAAGATATATTGCTGGAGTTTATTAAAGTAATCTAATTACGAAACCTTTTGTTTGATAATAAATTATAAAATATTATTTATAATTTATTTTATTATTAGAAATTAGTTAAAGAAATAGTAGATAAAACCTATAATATCGTTATATATCCCACGTAAAATCAATTTGAAGATATTTCATTAGATGTCGTAAAAAAAAATATCAAAGTACATTTAGTACATATCAACAAAAAAAATGGAATGCCTTTTACGAAGGTCATATTACTTCAAAGGTAATTGCTTTTGCCTTGCTATTAAAATATAATTTAATGCAATTAAAATATTTAAATTTTTAGCTGCTATTTAAACATTGCCAAAATCGAAGAAGTGACGTCACTATATTCCGAAAGACATTGTTTAGTATTTTTGGAGAACGAGAACTTCCTCCCATCTGAACTTTAGACTCCCATGATATGATCACAGCATGGAAGGCATCCTTACAAACTCGAAAGGCTTATGACGCACTTTTTGAAAATATGCCCAGAACAGAAATCAAATATATTGAAAGAGTATTAGAAAAAACCTGTAATGCCAATACTCCAATTCATCAAAAAGCTTTT